TTAAGTAAATATTTTCACCTTCTAGAACAATAAAACTATTTATCAAAAACATGTCTTTACTTATTTGTGTAAAGGAAAATAATTGTTAATCCCCTTTTATATTCGTAGAATGCCACACGGAAAAAAATGTGACTAGAAAATTTTAATACAATGTTGTAGTAGTAGACTTGTAGAAAAATACTTAACAATTTGTAGAAAATTTTACTACAATTTATAGGTAAAAACTATTCATTATTGTACCAATTGAATTGTCGAATAAAATGCTACAACAATAGGAAAGAATTCCACAATGTTTAGTATATTTTACTATTGTTTGTAGAAGTAGAAATTTATTACAATTATCGTAATTACTACTACAAACTTCTGAAAAAATTTGTACAAATATTATTAATTATCTCTACAAAAAAAAGTAATTTTCTCTACAAAAAAATAGTAATAATTTAGATCCCTTCTTATGAAAAATATTCAATTTTTTTCAAAAATATTCTATAATATTGTAGAAATTCTAAGTCATGTGAACAAAACAGAATTCTGCTATTGGCCAACGTTTTCTGACGTCGATCATAAATGGCCAGACAGCAGTAGCCGTTCGCCATGTTCACATCACAAAGCATGGTACATATACGAGTACCTATAACACATTATTATATTATAAGCACCGATGCGTTTGAGAAAATTTTAATAATAAATTCTATTGGTGGTAAGTACATTTATTATTGTTTCTGAATAATTTACCTTTAGATAACTAATTTAAATAACCTTAGTAGATTATTTAAAAAAAAAACAGTTGTGGCCAACGATCGAATGTTGTGCCTATCGATCGAATGTTGTGCCAAATTCAATGAGGTTTTTTTTGTCTTAATTGTGACATACCTACTTTCTCATTTTTGTTAGTTATCTGACTTAGTCATTTAATATCCAAATCAGTGTAAAGGTGATAAAAATATCCCCGTTTTAAGGGTATGAACAGTTCAATTGTAATTAATTTTTATTTCATATTTTTCAGGTGCAGAAAAGCCAACTGAGACTGAGGGTGCTATAATTACGTTTAATATATTACATAATGTAATTAAGACTTTGTATCTTTTATATTAAAACAATAAATTGAATATTTTATTAAGGAACATTTTTTTCTAGGTTATAATTATAATAATTATGGAATACTACTACAAGTTTTATTAAAAATTACTACAATTTGTATGAATTTTTACTATTTATTGTGTAAAATTTTCGTATTTATTTTCATAAAACACAATACATTTTTAATATAAATTCATAAAATGAATAGCAAAAATTATAACAATTTGTAGAACAATTCTTATGATGCATTTGAATATTTTTACTAAATATTGTAGATAATAACTCTACAATACATTCTCTACAAATATTTGGAAATTTTTACTACAAATTGTCCCTGTCCCTATTTGTACTATTTATTGTAGAGAAAAAATCTACAATTGTAGAAATTTGTTCTACAATTTTTTTTCCGTGCAAAAGATGTTACAATAAGATTTTGTACAAAAAATTATAATCGATTAGTTTTCTCCTGAAATAACCGTTATCAAATAAGTGGTATTTTTTAAGTTTAACACCCTGTATCTCAAAAACCAGTTATAGGATTTGAATGGTCGCTTAAACACTATTACTTAGGAAGTTGAGAACTGCAACGTATCAAAAATTTATGACATTTAACAGGTCGCCACTTTTCCATCAGCGGTGTGCGGGGTCCTTTATCCAAATTATGATAATTTAATTTGAGGTCTGCATTATACTCCAATATCATAAAAAATTAATTGCTTGGCAAACCTGTAATGTTCTTGAAAAACAATTTAGATTTAATTGTAGTATTACCAAACCATTCTAAAAAAGAAACAAAATACAGGGTGTTCTATTTAAAAAAATATACATTTTTATTTCATCTTATATATCCAAAAATATTTTTAAATACATATAACTTTTATTTGAATCTTGTTTGCGTGTCTATAACTCAAATTGAAATATTGAACAAATACGCATTAATGGGACACCCTGTATAATATTCTGCAAATTTCGCAAAAAAAACTACCAAGTTGGATAGCTTGGAAACTGCCAGATATTTGAATCCAGTAAAATTCACTTACTTGGGTTTCAAGTAAAAATCAATTTTGAGTTTTTAATTACTTTTCGACAGAAGTTTGGTATGTGGTATTGAGTAATGAGTATGATTATTTAGGTTAATAATAATTATAGAAACATCTAGCTAAATATGGTCTGTTAGAATTTTGCCAATGAATCCTATTTGTTCTTCTTTTTAATAATTTTAGTTTAGTTCATTAATTGTTATCCACTTTCATTTGTGAAATAACCGAATTTTGAGAGCTATAACTTTATAAATAGCATAGTGATTCATGTACCCTAATATTGATTCTAAATTTAAATACAGGGTGTCTGTAAAAGGTCTTTACAAAAACATACCACATATTCCTTAGACCAAAATAAGTCGATTTAAGTAAAATTACCTTAGTACAAAGTTGCTTCGTTTGGGCTCCAGAGGGCCTAGAAGTTACAATTTTTAAATCGTTTTTCCCATATAAATTTAAAACGGCATATGCGATTTTGCTGAAATTAAATTTGGTATATTGGTAGAGTTTTATATGGCAAAAAAAAATGGTATTAAAATTTTGTCCGATAATAATACATAGGGTAGAACTTGATTTTTTAAATAATTGCACCTTTAAAAATTCTACGCCAATGGAAGAAAAGGAGTTTGAGTATGAAATTTAGATTGCGCAACTCATTTACTTTAAAAAAGGTACTCTTGATAAGACTCGATTACTCTTATGGTTTTGACGAAATTTACATTTTAGTAATTTTAGAACATAAACAATAATTATTAAAATACAAACTTTGTCAAAACCATGAGAGTAAATCGAGTGTTATCTAGGGTACTTTTTTGTAGTAAATGAGTACCCAATCCAAATTTCATACTCAAATCCCTTTTTTGCCATTGGCGTAGAATTTTTATAGATGCAATTATTTAAAAAATCAAGTTCTACGCCTATGTATTATTATCGGACAAAATTTTATACGATGAAAAACATAAAAATGTACTTTTTTCATATCTTCTTCAACACCTCTAATCGAGACTTTTAACAAAAATACTCGATTCTTGCCATGTACGATTTTTTGAGGAATATTAATTATTTGCCTGCAATATGTATACAAAAACATTTATTGTTGGTTTCGATAGTTTCATCTAAATAAAAATATTGTCAAGTTTTAACACCTAATCTCTTGTTAACGTTGAAATTGTTCTATCTGACTTAATAATTAAAAAAAACAAATGCGTGGTTTATTAATATAGCTGTACAATATACCAATGCAGAATATACAGATATGTTACTGACATTAGGATTTTGTGTAGGAAATGCTCGAGAAAGTGTCAGGGTGTACTCTGAAAGGTTTCCAAATCGTCGTGTACCTAACCACCCAACTTTTGCTGCTGTTGAGAGACGCCTTCGGGAGACCGGTTCCTTTGCTCCCAGCACTGTTGATAATGGAAGAGAACGTTTTGTAAGGATTCCTGAAGTTGAAGAAGACATTTTAGAACGTGTTGAAGAAGATCTAGAATTAAGCACCAGACGAATTGGAAGGGAACTAGGAGTAAGTAAAGATGTCGTTCATAAAGTGCTTGGAGAACAATTGCTATATCCATACCATAGGAAGCCAGTACAAGAATTATTAGTCCATGATCCTCAAATTCGTTTGGGTTTTTGTCGATTTGTTAATATGCAAAGAGAAAGAGATCCAAACTTTGTCAAGAGGCTTCTCTTTACCGATGAAGCGGGTTTTACAAGAAGAGGTATAACTAATACCCATAATGAACATGTTTGTGCCTTTGAAAATCCGCATGCAATAAAGGTAAACCATTTTCAGCACGAATTCAAAATTAATGTGTGGGTTGGAATAATTGGTAATTTAATTGTTGGTCCTGTCATACTTCCACGAAGATTAACTGGAGAAAATTATTTGGATTTTCTACAAAATACGTTGCCAGAATTGTTAGAAGATTTACCTCTCCAACTTCGGAGAGATATATGTGGTTTATGCAAGATGAAGCTCCACCACATTTTTCTTTAAACGTTAGAAACCACTTGAATGAACAATATCCCCACAAATGGATAGGCAGAGGTAATGACGCACCTGTAAACTCTCCACCACGTTCCCCAGACCTAACACCGATGGATTACTTTTTATGGGGACATCTGAAATCCACAGTTTACAGGGAACCTGTAGAACATGAGGAACAACTCTGGCAACGTATTCAAGATGCAATAAACAATCTTAGAGGTGATGAAGAAGTTATGGAAAGGATACATTTTAATTTTCTTTGACGTATAAATCTTTGTATGCGTGAAAATGGTGAACATTTTGAACAACTTTTGTAAAATCTCTATTTTGATTATGTTGTAAATAAATATTTTTGTGAAACCTATACACTCTAAATTATTAAAACAGAAATTTAGCGAAAACCATGAGAGTAATCGAGTCTTATCAAGAGTACCTTTTTTAAAGTAAATGAGTTGCGCAATCTAAATTTTATACTCAAACTCCTTTTCTTCCATTGGCGTAGAATTTTTAAAGGTGCAATTATTTAAAAAATTAAGTTCTACGCCTATGTATTATTATCGGACAAAATTTTAATACCATTTCTTTTGCCACATAAAACTCTACTAATATACCAAATTTCAGCAAAATCGCATATTACGTTTTAAATTTATGTGGGAAAAACGATTTAAAAATTGTAACTTCAAGGCCCTCTGGAGCCCAAACAAAGCAACTTACTAAGGTAATTTTACTTAAATCGACTTATTTTGGTCTAAGGAATATGTGGTATGTTTTTGTAAAGACCTTTTACAGACACCCTGTATATTGCCAGTAAATTATAATGAACGCCTTTGATGATTAACGAATATGCCATGTTATTTTTTTTTGCTTGTAAAAAGCTCTGCTAAACTTACCTTAATATTTTATTTCCCAAATCTTCATTTACTGATTTAATATTAATACCTGTAGAATCAGTGAAAGCTCCACCGAAACCAAAGATCTCTTGGTACTTTTCTGTTCCAATCTCGATAACATTTTCAGCTGTCAAACTTTGTTTTTCGAATTGACCAACTTCTGTTTGGAATCTTAAACCTGCCTGGTTTGATGTAACTTTAATAAATTTGGATTTTTCTACCTTTTCAATTGGTTTTAATGTATCGCAATGGTCAATGTTGCAAACGCAAACGGTTCCACCGTTATTAAAATCTCTGCTAAGGCAGTCTTGCGCGTTCAAAAATTGCGCAACTGTAAGCAAAATAAGAGAATTTAAATATTTTCTTAATTTCTATACTAGTGAAAATAATATGAATTAAATGTTTCTTTTTAATTGAAGTAACCTTTAAAATTGATACCTACAATATGCATTTGTATATTTCATAAGCGTCTCTATATGCTTAAATAAAAATACTGTCATGAAATTCGGCCTTCACGTCTGTGGCACCCGACTCATGCTCGAAACGACGGAATCTTTGAGGTATGACGCTGACGCTCGAGAAATGGGTAGAACGGGCGGAGCATGCCATTGAGTGATGGAATTTTCGGGAGCGTCTAGAGATTTCCCCTAGCAGAGTTGGACTTGGTAAAAAAACCCGAATCATCGTCGGGCACTTTAGTTTAGTATAAAGTATTGGACTGAACACATAAATTGTAATAAATAAATTAGAATTAGTGTCTAAATATTATATAAATTAATTAGTAAAGAAATAAATTGTAAATAATATGTTTTAAATAAATAAACTATAAATAAATTAGACTATCCTCACATTGGTGTTAAAAGTGGAACTATAAATAAATAGTAGATAATCATGGCTAAAAAAATGTGTGATTTAAAAGTGGCTGAATTGCGTCGAGAATTAGAAGATCGTGATCTGGAGATGATAGGAAAGAAAGCAGAGCTGACAGAGCGGCTTAAAGAAGCACTAGAAGGTGAAGATTTGGATCCGGAAACGTATATATTTCCTGATGATGCTTCTTCTATAATTTCTTCTTTGGAAAGTAATTTTTTTCCATGGAAAGTAAATTTTCTTCCATGAAAACTAAATTTCTCTGACATTACTTCCTTAGATAGTAAAGTTTCTTCCTTAGAAGAAAAGGTATCTTCTGAGGAGAAAATAAAAGAGATGGAAAAGAAAATAGAAGAACTGGAACATTCAAAATCGGTCGAGGACAGTGAAATAAAGAGTCAAAGCTGTAAACTCTGCTCGTGTTAAAGCCCCAATCTTCGACGGAAAGATGTCATGAACCGATTACCTTAAACAGTTCGAGACAGCTGCGAGGGCTAACGAATGGTATGAGAGAGAAAAGGCAATAAATCTGACAATTGCCTTTTAAGGAGATGCTTTAGGTGTCCTTCAGGCTATACCCGTGGAAGAGACAGATGATTTTGAGCAACTAAAAGAGACTAAATATGCGATATGGCCACGAACATTTGGAGCATCTATACCAGTCACAGTTAAAGAATCGCAAACAGAAACGTGACGAGAGCCTCCAAGAATTTGAATTAGATATTGCGAAGATGGTACGATTTGCCTACCCATCAGCTCCGGAATACATGAGTGAATGTTTGGCCGTTCAAGCGTTTGTAGATGGACTTCGTGACCATAAAATGCAAAAACTTTAGCCCATCACAAAACAAGAGTCCGCTGCTTTTGAATATGAAGCGGCTACGATGGCTTCCGGTGGAGTAAAGTAAGGACTGTAAAAGAAGAAGAACAGGGAAATATATTGGACCAATTGTTTCACATGATAAAAACCCTTATTGAGAAGCAACCGAAGACCATTAGGTGCTGAAATTGCGGTGAAAGGGGAAATGTAAGCAGTTGGCGAAAATGCCCAAGAATACTACAAATCGAAAAACCGTGCCGGTGGCAGCACAGGAAGGAACGGTGTTACCTGAAAGTAGTAAAACCATAAGAGTAAGGCGGTTGCAAGGAACTGTAGAGAAAGCAACGCCTGTCATGGCGGAACTTTCGAAGTGCAATGAAGGTGTTGGTCAAGGAACTCTGAATGGAAAGGGGTTGGCCACATCTGTTAAAGAAGTTACAGTACGAAGAACGTCGGTTGTCAGCGATGAGTGGGTCCCTGTCAAACTTAGGGAAGAACAAGAGAACGATCCCGTTTTAAAAAAGATAAGAGATTGGAAAAAGGAAAATCATTGACCAACTTGGCAAGAAGTATCGAAATTATCTCCAGTAGTTAAATCATATTGGGCTAAGTGGGACTTCTTTATCCTAGAAGATGGCTTATTAAAGCGAGTACTTGAAAATGATGATGGTTCCATAAACAGAAGACAGTTGGTCATTCCAAGGAGTAAAGTATCCGAAGTACTTCGTCAGTTACACTACAGTTCATTAGGAGGACATCTCGGTGTTGGGAAAACCCTTCAGAGAGTTCGTGAAAGGTTTTATTGGATGAATAGTTCCGATGATGTAAAGGACTGGTGTAAGAAATGAAGCAGCTGTGCTATGAGTAATGGACCTCAGCAAAAAAGGAAGGCTCCCATGAAGCAATACAACGTTGGTAGCCCATTTGAAAAGATCGTCTTAGATATTGCTGGACCATTCCCGCGACCGAGGATGGTAATAAATACATGACGGTGGTTATGGATTATTTCACGAAGTGGGTGGAAGTCTACGCCATTCCAAATCAAGAGGCTGCAACTGTTGCAGATGTGTTGATTAAAGAGTCGATTTGGAGTGTCCTTGGAGATCCACAGTGACCAAGGCAGAAATTTTGATAGCCAACTCTTTCGAGGAATCTGTGATAGACTAGGCATGAAGAAAACCAGAACCACATCATTGCACCCATAATCCGATGGAACGGTAGAGCGAATGAATAAGACCATTGGAAAATATCTGTCAAAAGTGGTTTCAAACCATCAGCGAGATTGGAATCAGTATCTTTCGCTCTTTGCAATGGCTTATAGATCCGCTGTCAATGAATCAAAAGGCCAAACACCAGCAAAGGTCCTGTTTGGACGTGAGATGAGACTACCGTGCGACCTCGAGTTTGTATGCCAACCTGGAGAAGATGTAGCTGGTGAAGATTATATGATCCAGTTACGAAAAAGAATGGACGATATGCATGAATTGGTCCGCTCGCATCTTCAAATCGCTAGTGACAGAATGAAGAAGCGATACGATACACAAGCCACAGAAGAATGTTTCAAGGAAGGCGACAAAGTCTGGCTCCATAACCCAAAAAGACAATAGGGTTATCCTCCAAAGCTTCAAAGGTCTTGGGAAGGCCCGTACCTCATCAAGAAAAAATAAATGATGTCATCTACCGTATAAGTAAGATCCCGAACGGTAAACCAAAGGTAGTGCATCAAAACCGGCTGGCGCCATTTGAGAGTGACCATGAAGAGGAAGAAGAAGTAAACCAGCTCCTGACCTTGTCTTTGAAGAATTTATGGGTGCATATGGAGGTACCAGAAAAGCAAGATATGGTGTTACAACGGAGCAACAACAAGACCTGCTCACGGTTTCTAAAGATCACTCGCTGGTCCATAGCACTTCCGCCAACATCTACGACGCTCGAGGTATGGCATCTGTATTCCGGAAAGAGTTTGCTCGATTGCCAGAACTTCAAGATCAGTTACCAGCCCTTGGAAAAGCATTAAAACTTCAAGATGGATCGCGTTATCATTTTTATTTGGTAACAAAGAACACCTTCCGATATCGATCCACCTATCAGGATGTATGGGAAGCATTACTCAGTCAGAGGGAGCATGTAGTGGAGTCCACTGTACAGAAACTAGCTATACCAAAGATAAAAAGCAACCAGCTGAATTGGAGGATCATTAGAAACATGGTGGAAGTAAGCTTCCAAGATACCCAGGTTGAAATACTGGTCTGCAGCCATTCTCCCAGCTGTCAGGTTGTAACGAAGACTGTGCTTTGTTACTTCCATGCAACTGGAAATTGTAAAAGAGGATCCAGTTGCAAATACAACCATTCAATTTTAGTTCCAGGACGAACTATTTCTTAAGGAGGGGGCAATGTCATGAAATTTCTAAGCCGACTCTGTCTAAGCAAGAGGCCCTTCATTTCTGTGGCACTCGACTCATGCTCGAAACGACGGAATCTTCGAGGTATGCTGCTGACGCTTTAGAAACGGGTATAACGGGCGGAGCATGCCGTTAAGTGAGATGGAATTTTCGGGAGCGTCTAGAGACTTCCCGTAGCAGAGTTGGACTTTGTATAAATAGCCGACTTATCGTCGAGCAGTTTAGTTTAGTATAGAGTATTGGACTGAACACATAAATTGTAATAAATAAATTAGAATTAGTGTCTAAGTATTATATAAATTAATTAGTACGTTTGAAATAAATTGTAAATAGTGTGTTTTAAATAAATAAACTACAGATAAATTAGACTATCGTCTCAATACCTAATAATTATAAAAAATATTACCTAGTGAAAGTACTGTAATTGTCGTCAACAGCTTCATTGTTAAAATAAACATAAATTGAACGGATTTCTTTAATATATCTATAAATAAATCAGATAAGATTAATTTAAGTGACTTTAAACAATCTAAGATCAAATCAAAGTTTAATTAAACTGTATTATGCGTTATTTAAATCTTTACGTACTTTATGAGATAGTAAACACTTATGATAAACTTTCCATAAGAATTTTTATAAAAAATAATGTTTTTCTACTTACTTACTTACTTACTTACTTACTTACTTACTTACTTACTTACTTACTTTGTTAGTTACTAAAAAGTAGATTAACGTAGTATTCAATACAAAAGAAATTATATTAACAAACTTCTAACCAAATAAACATGTAATTGTGCAAATAATTTTTTCTACTTTATAAATCTACGTCAGTGGCGTAACTACAATGGTACCAGTGGTGCTGTGACATCATGGCCCGCGCGACATTGCAGCCAAGCGTGGCGGTTCGGATAAAGCTTCAAAAAAGTGCTTGAAATAATTTGCGGTAATTGTAAAAACTTTGCATGAAATTATAATATTAATAATAATAGCATTGTAAAAACATTTCTTATCATTCTACAAGAAAGTTAAAATACTTGTTTTTTTATCTATATAGTTGTAAATAAAATAGATAAATACGAAAAAATTATTACTCAATAATAATTATTAAATAAGGAACACTGGTGTTATTTACACTAATATAACCGCGCATCGCATATAGAGGGTGGAGACCTTAACTGGAATATATTCGCTAGCGGTAAGGTGAATAATTTTTCTAAAATTTCCCGAGACACGTCAACGTTTTAATATATTTATCTACATTTTGCAAGCAATTTGAAAAATATAGCCCTTCGGGGGTAGCTGAAACCACCCTGAAACATGTTTTTTCTCAAATGAAACCCTGTGACTTGTGATCCTTCATTGCAAAGCTGATGGAGCGAGGAATCCAGCGTACTTATCAAATTTTAGTTTCTAGTGCATTTGGGGGTTGCATAAAATCAGAACGTAATTTAAAAGTTTATTTCATTTTTAATGTAACAAATGTTCAAAATGTTTACCATTGACTTATTGGCAGCATCCCAGTCGGTGGTATGTTTCGTCTCTTACATTACGCAACATTTCTGGTGTTATTTTATTGATTTCCTTTCTTATCCTTTCCTGTAGGTCTGCTATGTTGTTAGGTTTTTGAATGTAGACTTTACTTTTGAGATATTCCCCATAAAAAGAAATCCAGCGGTGTAAGGTCTGAAGACCTTGCTGGCCACTTAGTAGTACCTCGTTTTCCAATCCACCTACCGGGAAAAATTTTGTCCAGATATTGACGAGGGCCCCATCTTACTGAAAACATAGCATCTCGTCGGTCAAGTTAGGGTTCAAAGGATTTGAAAATAAATGATATGTAACTGGCATTAATTCATGCTAGAGAAAATGCAAGTATCTTACTCCATTAACAGTGTTATCAAAGAAAAATGGGCCTACAATTCTATCGCATATTATTCCGGCCTACACATTGGTTTTCTGTGGGCGCTGAATATTGAATTTACTAAGCTCTTGATATATTACTACCAAAAAACACCAAAAACAAAAAATTTGCTTCAGCCAACCAAACAATTTTTTTTCAGTGGCGAGTGGCGATGGGACTCACCCAAAACAAAAAATAATAATACAAACAAATATCCCCTAATTTACCCAACCGTGCGCTCATCAGAGTCTTAAAAGGGATTAAAATAAGCGTAGCCCATTGTTACGTTCCACAAAACCGGACGGCATAGGTAAAATTCTTAAAATTAAAACACTGTTAAAAATCACAGCTGCCTGTGTTGTAAAACACCTATAAAATATTGATTTATTACTTTGTATCGATTGCGATTCTACTGTAATTAAAACGAAAATTTGACATATACAGTGTCTTTTATATAAATAGTAAAAAGCCTATCTTACATTTCACAAAAAACTAATTATTTGAAAATGTAAAAATTAAAAAATCCAACTTTGTATAAAATGTAAGGTCTGGCCTGCCCAATGATTTATTTGAATGGCCACTTGAACATTGATTTAGGATTATTTATTGAATAAAGTAAATTGATTGCAGTAAATGAGTGCAATGATTTTTTTGTTTTTAATTCCTATTAACATTTTAGTTAAGATTTTGATCTATTTTTAAAATAGTTTGGTTTCTTATAATTTTTGTATTTTTTAACCGATATAAATTATTTTTTCGCATATACTAGAAACTTTATTCGCAATGATAATAATAAGATTAATAATACCAAGAATAATCTTTATAATAAAAAGGCAATGAATATATGAATAAAGCAAAAATATCGATAAGTGCGTCGAATATATATTGAATTTAAAAAATACTAAATTCACTGCTATTGTAACAATTTGAGAAAACATTCAAAAATGGTTATATTACTAATAGGAAGGGTGGGTGGCTCAGTGGTTAGAGTTTGGACTTTCGGATCCAAGGATCTAGGGTTCGAATTCCACCGTTCACAGTGTAGCCGTGTGTCAATCCAGTCTAGGAGGATTTAATTCAAACATTTTTTAGAAATTTAAATATAGTTAAACATCTGACAAATATTAATTAGTCATAAAAACATGTAGGAAAAAAATGTACCTAAGAAAAATAGGCGAACTTCGATAATAGTATTTTGTGCAACAAGAGTGGATACCAGTGGCGGCTTGTGGCCAAAATTTTGGGGGTTCACAGTGACAGAATATAGGTATCAGTACAGATGTATGAAAAAAACTTCTAGTGTTTTAGAAAGTTTATAATACGAGGTGTGACAATTAAGTAATGAGACTGATTTCATAAAATCCGTATATTTAAAAATTATTCTACAACTCTGCCATCCCCTTTAAAGTAGTCCCCATGGGCAGCTATACAACGTTTCCAGCGCGTTTTCCACGCTTCGCAACATTTCTGGAACGTTTCAACTGGGATGGACAATTCCACGGCTATCAAAAAAGGTTAGTCCGCACCTCGACTGGCCGGTCTCCCGCTCCGCGCCTGGTCTTCAACGCTTTATGCCATCAAAACACCTGGGCACGACTGAGAGCACTATCACCATACACTTTTACGATTTTAGTGTACGTTTCCGAAGCTGTTTCGCCCCATCTGGCGCAAAATTTAATCGCGACGCGTTGCTCTAGATTTTCTTCTCCATTTTCGTGACGAGCATCACCAACACCCGTCTACTAAACACGACACAGCTGGCGAACTAAATAACTAAATAAACTAGAGAGATGGTAAAAATATTAAGGGAAAGGAAAAGGATGTCTAAGAAGGGGAAAGAGAGTTTCAAAGTCGCAAGTTTACCACAAACGCGGCAATAAAATCGGTCTCATTACTTAATTGTCACACCTCGTATACCTTTCTAAAACACTGACAGTTTTTTAGCTATACTTGTATCGGGATCTATATTCTGCTACTGTGACCCCCAAAATTTTGGTCACAAGCCGCTCCTGGTTGATATAATGGCCATATCGCACGAACATGAAATTTGAGCACGACGCCGTAGGCGGAGTGCTTAATCGTCTGAGTGCGATGTGGACAATCCACTCGAGTTTTACAGTACATTTTTTCTACGACCCACTAACGAAAATATACAAATAAAAAAACATTTTAGGTTATTAAGACAAAATAATTAATTTTAAAATAATTTATGAATTTTAGTAAGTTTTAAAATAAAATAATTGAGAAAAAAAAGAAAAATAGTTTCATTTTTCCCCATCCGAGAATCGAACTCCAGAGGTCTGTGAACTTGGCACCACAACATTGCAAAAAAGCGACAAAAATGTGTTAGACGTTTGTCCATCGTTTGCCCATTATTGCCCATGAACTAACTTTTTTTGCCCACCCTCTGTTTTCACAATATATCAAAAATAATTTTCGCGGGCCAACTTCCAAACAAAAGTTAAACTTTTCATAATTTAATTTCACGGCATAATAGCATTTCGGTAGCCCACGTTTGCCCATAAATTAGTTTTTTAGAAAAAAAATTAGAGAAAATAAAAAAAATAAAAAAAAATATTCACAAAAAAACAATATAATAACTGCATTAGATAATCATTCGTAGCCCATGTTTGCCCATTTTTTTGTTTCACAAATTTTCATACCGATCTTCAAAAAAAAATTAATAAAAAAAGGGATTTAATGACAATTCCACTATCCGAGATTTATACGAGTTTATTTGTTATTAAAAAATGGGCAAACATCGAAATAATGCCAAAATATTTGTAAATGACTAAAAAATGTTTTATGAGGATTGTCCAAATTTTTTAAAAAATCCTCGTCCATTAGGGGGGCTTAAACTCCGATAATAGTGCATTTATATGTATTTATTAGTGATATAAAAATGGGCAAACATTAAAATAATTCCAAAAAAGTTGCTAAGAAATGTATTCTGAGGATTGCGCTTTTTTAAAAAAAACTACTCGTCCAATAGGGGGACTTAATTTCCGATAGTAGTGCTTTCTATGTTTTCAGTTAATATAAAAAAATGGGCAAACATCCAAATGATTCCAAAATCTAAGAAATGTATTCTGAGGATTGCCCATTTTTTGAAAAAAAATCCTCGTCCAATAGGGGCGCTTAATCTGCGATAATAATGCATTTCTGTGTTTTTATTTGATATAAAAAATGGGTAAACATCGAAATGATTCTAAAATAATTGAAAGTTGCTAAGAAATGTATTCTGAGAATTGCCCATTTTTTTTAAAAAATCCTCGTCCAATAGGGGCGCTTAATCTGCGATAATAATGCATTTCTGTGTTTTTATTTGATATAAAAAAATGTGCAAACATCAAAGTGATTTAAAAATAAGTGTAAGTTGCTAAAAAAATGTATTCTGAGGATTGCCCATTTTTTTTTAAAAATCCTCGTCCAATAGGGGCGCTTAATCTGCGATAATAATGCATTTCTGTGTTTTTATTTTATAAAAAAAATGGGCAAACATCGAAATGATTCCAAAATAATTGAAAGTTGCTAAGAAATGTATTCTGAGGATTGCCCATTTTTTAAAAAAATTCCTCGTCCAATAGGGGCGCTTAATCTGCGATAATAATACAT